CCCTGGTGCCACCCACATCCCTCAGGTGGCAGGCTTTGTGGCCCCTGGTCTGCACCTTTCCCTTGAGTGATGCCAAACTGCAGCTGCTTCCAGCCAAATCCCATGGCCAGATCCCTGAAAAGCGCTGTGGGGCAGAGGAAGGAGGGAGCAGGCAGAGAATTTCAGGGCTGACCCCACGGCTGCCAGCCCTGTGCCATCCCCACCATCTGTCTGGCACAGGGTGGAAGTTTGGGGCCATCCATGGCAGGTCAGGGCTCTTCCCTGCCGAGTACGTCCAGCCCGTGGCGGCGCCCGACTTCGTCCACCTGCCTGCGGAGAGGAAGGAGGAGCCCAGGGACAAGCAGGGCAAAGTGGCGGCCTCGGCGGCCGTGGCCGTGGCCGTGGCCTCCACTGCTGCTGCCCAGGAGCTGGACCGCAAAACCGAGGTGGGTCCTGGCCCGGGGCTGTCCCCGGTGCTGGCCGTGCCCGGTGCCCACTGCCCCGGCCCACAGGTGTCCCCAGCCAGTGCCACCTTTGTGGAGGAGGGAGGTGGTGATGAGCAGCTCAGCGATGTCACCGGGGCCTGTCCCATGCTGGCCTTTGCCCAGCGGCATTTCCGAGCAGCACGACGTGGGACCACGTGAGTGTCAGCGGTGGGACGGGGCATGCCGTGGTGGGGACACCTGTGCTCACCTGCTGCCTTGTCCCTCTGCCAGGGATTCCCGTGGGATGAAGGTGCCAAGTGTGCTGGAGATGCTGACGTTCACCAAGGTGTGGAGAAGTGGAGTTCTGGGGTGTCCTGCTGTCACCTGCAGGTCCCTTTGAGATCCCAGCAGGGTCCTAGAGCTGGCCCTCTCCCCTTCTCCAGATTCCCATTCAGGAGTCACTCATTGAATTTGTGGATGGTGGCCTCAACAAACTGGCTGCTGAGGCTTTCCAAGGTAGGCAGGGGCACAAGTGTCCTGTCCCCCTGTCCCTCAGCCCTCCCCAGCCCTGTCCTTGGAGAAGGGTGGGGCTGGACTGGGATGGGCAGAGGAGGGGTGTCTGTTTAGTTCTGGTCCCACTGCTCCATGTGCCCAGGATGTGCCCACCCAGGAGAGCACGTCCCTGGGGAAGGGACATGCTGACCTGTGTCACGTGTGGCTTTGTTGTCCCCAGCCGTGATGAAGTTCATGGGTGACCACCCCCTGCGGGGGCACACAGAGCTGGACATCGTCTGCACCATCCTCAGGGTAAATCCATCACTGGGGCGCCGAGTCCTGGGGGTGGCCTGGGCAGGCGGTGGCAGAGAGGTGGCAGCTGTGCCTGTCCTCAGCTGTGTGCAGAGCACGAGGTCCTGCGGGATGAGGTGTACTGCCAGATCATCAAGCAGATCACCAACAACACCAGCTCCAAGCCGTGAGTCCCTCCACCCACGTGGCACAGCAGAGGCTGGCACTGGGACACTTGCACCCTGGCCAGGCCGAGCTGCTCCAGCCTGCGGGGACACCTGGGGACCTCACCCTGTGCTGCTCCCCAGGGTGATGGTGCCACCATGGGCATCCTCACCCTGCTTAGGAGATCAGCCCTGGCTGTTCCCACAGGGACAGCTGCCAGAGGGGCTGGAGGCTGCTCTACATCCTCGCTGCCTACTACAAGTGCTCTGAGGTGCTCCGGCCCTTCCTTGTGGCCTTCCTGCAGGATGCCAGCAGGCACCCGGAGCTGCCTTTCCACGGTAGGGGCTGTGCACACACCCCAGGGTGCTGGGGGCACGGTGGGAAAGGACACCCCAGGTGTCACAGAGCTCAGGAGGAGCTCTAGCAGAGCCAGCGTGCAGCTCAGCCCCATCTTTCATCCCGGTCCCTGCTCCTGCCAGGCATCGCCAAAGCCTGCGAGCAGAACCTGAGGAAAACCCTGCAGTTTGGTGGCCGCAGCCTCTTCCCCAGCAGCATGGAGCTCAAGGCCATGGTGGTGAGGCCAGGGGCTCGTGGGTGCCCGTGGGGTGGAACAGGGCTGGTATCAGCTTGAGATCCCCCCCAGAAGTTCTGGGTACCCACATGGGGTCAGGCTCTCCCTGTGGATTTGGGATCTCCCTCAGACACTGCCCTGGAACGGAGCTGATCTTTTTTGGGGATCTTCCCAAAGGAGCACAGCCCTTCTTAGGGTCTGCTCTTCACCTCTTTGGGGGTACCCTGAGCCTTCAGGGGTCCCCAGTGGGGATGGAGCTCTGTGGACATGGACTGGGGGCATGATGGTTCAGGTGGACAGGACGGGCAAGAGACAGGATGATCCCAATGGGATGGTTCCTTAGGGACAGCTGCAGGATTTGGGGTGTCCTGTGGGTTCTTGCTGTGTGAAGGGCCCCCCTGCACCCCAACGTGTCCTCCCACGCAGGCTGGACGCAGCGCCAAGCGCCAGCTCTTCCTCCTGCCCGGCGGCATCGAGAGGCACCTCAAGATCAAGACGTGCTCGGTGAGCCAGAGGGGACAGGAGGCTCAGTGCACCCCAAGATTACGGTGACACCTCAGCTGTGGGCACCCAGAGGGGGTGGATGTGGGGGGGCTGCACCCTCTGGCTGTGCCTGCTGTGGGACTTCATCCTCTGGGAAAAGCAGATCACCACTGGGATGAGCCTCAGTGCAGGGCAAGTTGGTGGCCGGAGCACAACAGGGAGAGGTGGCAGTGTCCCAGCCACCTGTCCCTGCGCCCAGGTGGCTCTGGATGTGATCGAGGAGCTGTGCTGTGAGATGGGGCTGCAGAATCCAGAGGCTCTGGAGGAATACATCCTCTTTGTGGTGACCGAGAGAGGTGAGGAGCTGGCAGGGGTGGGACAGACGGGACAGGACAAACCAGGACGGGACAGCCATGCGGGTGGTGTGGTGGCCCTACTCAGACTGCTGGGTGGCACAGGGCAGAGCGTGCGGCCGCTGACCCGCCGGGAATACGTCCTGGACGTGGCTGCCGAGACGGAGCTCCGGGACACCAGCTACACCTTCTGGTGCCGCCGCGTGGTCTGGAGCCAGCCCCTCAAGTTCGACAACGAGCTCTACGTCACCGTCCACTACAACCAGGTCGGGCCACCCCGTCGGCCTCCCCCAGGGCCACCTCCCTGTCTCCCTCAGAGCGTGCCCTGTCCCCAAGCCGTGTCCCTGTGCTCTCTCCCCCTCCCAGGTGCTCCCTGACTACCTCAAGGGGCTGTTCACCGTCCTGCCGCCGGCGAGGCCGGGAGAGCAGCACTTCCCGCACGTGGCCAAGCTGGCCGCCCTCCAGCACCGAGCCAAGGACCGCCACCACCTCCCCACGGCGTACGGCAGGGGACAGGGCACCTGGAGGGGGGGGAAATACATGTCCTGTGGGATTTGGGACCCACTGGCCAGCGCTGGCCCTGACCTCGGGCTCCCCACAGGCGGGAGATGCAGGACTACGTCCCTCCGCAGCTCTTCCGCCTGCTGAAGCCCCAGTCCTGGCTGCAGATGGTGACCCAGCACGTGCAGCAAGCACAGGCACTCAGCGCCCACCAGGCCAGGGCACAGCTCCTGGGTGAGGGCACAGGGAGGTGACAGCCACAGGCAGAGGATGCAGTGCTGATGAGGACATGGTGCTAATGAGGATGCAATGCTGCGGGGGGGTGCGATGCTGCCTGGAGGGTGATGATGATGATGATGATGGGGATGGGATGCTGCTAGGACAGGCAGCCCTTGTCCCTGCACAGAGCCTGCGGTGCTGCACATGCAGGATGGAGTGCCAGGACAGGACAGGCTGCTTCCAGGCCCCATTGGGACACTGGTTTTTTCCCTTGGATGCTCCTGGGGACTGGGCAGATGGGGGTGGCAGTGGGCACTGAAACCCCGTCCTGTGCCCTGCAGGGCTGCTGAGCGCCTACCCCATGTTTGGCTCGTCCTTCTTCTACATCCAGAGCTGCAGCAACAACGCCATCGTTTCGCCCTGTATCCTGGCCGTCAACCAGAACGGCCTCAGCTTCCTCAGCAAGGAGACCCACGTAGGTGTGGGGCCGTGTGGGACACGTGGAATCACGGAACGGCTCGGGCTGGAACAAACCTTAAAGCTCATCCAGTTCCACCCCCTGGCAGGGACACCTTCCACTAGACCAGTTTGCTCTAAGCCCTGTCCAAACTGGGGTCTGCGGTCCCTTTAGAGGGGTGGGTTCCCCTGTCACCCTTAGAGGGCCACCCCCCTGTCCCCCTCCCAGGAGCTCATCGCCAAGTTCTCGCTGAATGAGATCCACTCCACGCGGACGCAGCGCCCCACGGCCGGCTCCAGCTCTCCCTACGTGGAGATCACTCTGGGAGACCTCCTCGCCCAGGGCATCACCCAGCTGCAGCTGGAGCAGGTCGGGGACACCTGGGGACATCGGGGGGGGGGGGGGGCCCTGCTGGGGCTCTCACAGTGGTGGCACGGCCACTGCCCACCGGCGTGTCCCTCTGCAGGGCCTGGAGCTGTGCCGCGTGGTGGCCGCGCACATGGAGAGGCTGCTGGGTGCCCGGGAGAAGAGGCTGACGCTGCCGCCCAGCGAGATCACCCTGCTCTGAGCCCGCCACGGCCCGGACCCCCGGCACCCCGGACCCCCGGCACCCCGACAGGGGGGGACAGAGGGTGCAGTGACCATGGGGCGTCCCCATCTTGGCCAGTGGCCGCTGTCCCCCTGTCACCACCCCGCTCTTGTTCTGGGGTTTTATACACGCCCGGGAGCCCGGCATGACTCGGTGTCCGTGGTTTTGTGTTGCGCTCGCTGCCGCAAGGGCGATGCTGCCCCCCGTGTCTGATCGATCACCATCGGTTTCACCATCCCGGTGCCTCAGTTTCCCCCACCGGTCTCCGTGTCCGTTTCCCCATCCCCGTGCCTCAGTTTCCCCTCTATCCCGCCCGTGCCTCAGTTTCCCCGTGCCCCTCCCCTTTCAGTCACTCCCGCCCTCCTGTCGCGCTCGTCGCGTCCGCCAGGGGGCGCCGGCGCCGCGCGCCCGCCGCCACCTCCGCGCCCCTCCCTCCCCGCCGCCGCCGCGCGCGCGCGCGCGCTCCAACCGGCGCGGCGGGGCGGGGCGGCCCCGCGGCGATCCGGGATGTCGGGCCGGCTCCTGGTGACGTAGCGGGAAGGGCCGCGCCAGACCCCCGCCCGCCGCTCTCCCCCGGCACGGCACGGGACCCCCCACACCTCCTCCGGTTATCCCCCGCCATGGGCAGAGCCGCGACGGTGGGAACGGGCAGGGCGACCGGGGCCGCCGCTGGGAATGTGCCAGGCCCTGCCGCCGCGTGAGCACCGGCACCGGCAGCGTTGTCCGCGCCCGCCCCGGGCCAAGCCGTGAGTGTGGCGTCCGCCGGGCCGCCGCTGCCCCGGGAGGGAGGGACGGAGAGCGCGGGAGCTCTGTCCGCCGGCAGCGGGCTCCCATCTCCCGAGGAGGGTGGGGGGGGCGGGAGGGGGTCTGGCGCGGTACCGGGACCCCGTGCTCACCTCCCCGTCCTGCGGGTCTCTCTCTCCCGGCAGGGCGGCGGGTGCCATGAGCAGCAGCTGCGCGTCCCCCGCCGCCTCCCGCCGCCGCCTGCAGCGCCGGGATCGATAGAGGCGGGGGCTGCGGACGCGCCATGGCCGGCAGCGGCTACACGGACCTGCGGGAGAAGCTCAAGTCCATGATGCCCTACCGGGACGGCCACAAAGGCGGCGGAGGAGGCGGCGGCCTCCCGCGGGAGCCCCCCGAACCTCCGTACGACCGCAAGCGGCGGCACCAGGAGGACTCCGGCTCCGAGCCCAGCGACTACGAGGAGCAGAAGGAGGAGGAGGAAGCTCGGAAAGTGAAGAGCGGCATCCGCCAGCTTCGCCTCTTCAGCGCCGAGGAGTGCGCCAAGATCGAGGCGCGCATCGAGGACGTGGTGTCCCGGGCGGAGAAGGGGCTCTACAAGGAGCACACGGTGGACCGGGCGCCGCTGCGGAATAAGTATTTTTTCGGGGAAGGCTACACCTACGGGTCTCAGCTGCAGCGGCGAGGCCCCGGGCAGGAGCGCCTGTACCCGCGGGGGGAGGTGGACGCCATCCCCGAGTGGGTGCACGACCTGGTGATCAGGAAGCTGGTGGAGCACCGGGTGATCCCCGAGGGCTTTGTGAACAGTGCCGTCATCAACGACTACCAGCCGGGGGGCTGCATTGTCTCCCACGTGGACCCCATCCATATCTTTGAGAGGCCCATCGTCTCCGTGTCCTTCTTCAGCGACTCGGCGCTCTGCTTCGGGTGTAAATTCCAGTTCAAGCCCATCAGGGTGTCGGAGCCCGTTCTGTTCCTGCCCGTGAAGAGGGGGAGCGTCACGGTGCTCAGGTAACTCGCCCGCGTTGCCGAGGCCCCGGTTGTGTAACGCGGATCACGAGGCGCCTCGGGCTCCGTCTCCCTCGCCTGTCGGTGCTCGGGGGCTCGCTGTGGTGGAAGGGGTGAAGCAGGGATTTGGGGAGGGCAGGTCCTGCCGTCGTGGTGGGTGAGGGTTTGGGTGGGTGCCCTCTCCACGGGGCTTGAGGCGAATGCTGGTGGGAGCGTGCTAGCAGAGCTGAGCTAGCCGATGAGTTCCTGTAAATGGTTAAAGTAACTCATCGAGACACAAAATGGATCCTTTGCCCAAGAGTGGTCAGATCGGAGCAGCTGTAGGGACAGGGCTACCGGGTCTATTCTTAGCTCGGCCGGGTCTTCTCTGACCTGACCTTAATCGTGGAGAGGAGGTGTGAATGGCCTTGTCTTCCCAGTCTGTAAACTGGGAATGCTGAGCCCTCCCCTGCCCGGTGACGATAAGGGAGACCAGAGTGCAGAGCCCCGCGTGATTGTCACTTGGAAGTGCAGCGGGTCACGGGCACAGGAAGGGACTTTCTGTGTGTTGAGGAAGAGCCCTGGAAGGTGGAATGACCTGCCCAAGGTCACGCAGTTGGCCGGCAGCGAAGCTGGGATTGGCACCGGGAAGAGCCTGCTTCGTAATCCCACTGCCTCCCGGTACGGGCTGGGAGGGGGAGCAGACAGGTGAGGGGCCAGGAGGGGCTGGAGCCACAGGGATCCTGCTGCTCTCCAGCTCCTGGGGAGGGCAGCTCGAAGCCTGGCACCGGGACTGCCAATCCTTGTGTCCCTGAAGGTCAGAGTGCTCCCTGCCAGGAGCAGGGATCACCAGGACTGTGCCAGCAGTGCTACCAGCTGTATCCTCCTTTGAAGGGATGTTTTTTTGGGCTGGTGAAGGTCCAGGCCGGTTTTCCGGGCTCCCAGGCCGTAATACAATCCCTTGCTTTGGCTTGTAAATTGATCGCTGCAGGGTTCGGGAAGGAATTTTTCCCCCCACAAACACACGGCCTCCTTGCCTGGTGCATCAATAATAAATGCTGAGATCTTGCGTCGCTTTTATCTCGGAAAAGCTGCACAAACATTAACTAATCCTTGCCGTACCCCGGTGTTAGGTAACTTGTGTGGATTAGCCGGTGATGAGGGAGGCTGCAGAGGGAGTCGGGAATGGCGCTGAGGACATTTTCTCATTCTCTGGTGGTTTGACAGGGCTCCGGGGGCAGAGGTCAGGGTGATTTTGTGAAATGGGACCCAAGGGGACCCATCCTGCCCTGTATCTTTTTACTGCAGAGCAAGCTCCATCCCCAGGGATGGACTGCTGGATGTGAGGCAGCTGCTCTGCTCCCTGACTTCTCTGAGATACCAAGAGGGAAAATTTCTACCTTAATTTTCCTGCTCCTGATGCGAACCCCTCTGCTGTCTTTCCTCGTCAGGCCTGGATAAATAGTTGCCCTTCCTTTTACAGCCAGAGGCCTTCTTTTTTTAAGGACAGTGAGAGTTTTATCCTGCTTGGAGGCATTCTGGCAGAGCTACTAATGCAGGGTCAGCCTCAAGTCTTGCAGTCAAAGCCTCTTGAAAAACTCTGGAGGAGGATCTGCAGTGGAGGATGGTGGGAGGAAGGAGAGATGCTTTCCCTGCTCCAGGACCAGAGAATGATGTTTTCTTATTCCAGAGCCTTGCTCTGCTGGAAGAGGCTGCTGGCTCAGGGCTCGTGGAATTGGAGTGAGGTGTCTCCCAGGGGTGTTTGGGTTGTTGGCCAATGTCACTCAGGTGCTGTAATCAGTTTGTTTATGTAGCTGAAGCAGTCCTACAAACCAGATGAAAATATCTTGATATCTTTTCCCTCCAAATCCAAGGGCTGCTTTCTGACCCACCCACTCTGCAGCTTGATCACGATCAGATGTTCTGCTTTCCAGCAAGTAATAGACTTTAAAACGGCGATTATTTCAAATTTGGTACAGCAGTTAGCAGGTACTTTACACTCACTTATGGGAGATTCTGCCAAAGTGACTGTTCCCTGTTGATAGGATCCTGTCTGGAATCAATTCCTTGCCTCACAGCAGATCTCCTGGTCTCCCATCTCACCCCAGGAGGAGCAGGAGAGGTGCAGGTTGTGCTCACGGGTGTGTCACCAAATCCAGCCCTTGGTCATGACTAAGTCGACTCCCCAAACTTGGCGTTTTCTCCTCTGGGTAAACAGCTGCTGGAGGCAGTTGCCCTGGAGATGGGGAACGGGCACAGATAGAGGTGGCATGCCTGTAATGTCTGGGATTCAAATCCTGCTGGGTCAGTGGCTGCTCCTGGCCTGCAGCCCTTCCAGGGAAGCTGTGTGTGTTTGGGGGCTGTGTGGAAGTCCTGAGGATCTAAAGGAAGCTGTCAGATCCCTCTCTTTGACCCCACAGCACTCTGACACTGGCCCCAGATTGCCCCTGTCCCATTCCTGCTCCTCATTCCACAGCTGCTGACCCACTAGGGATTTTGCAGAGGCACTTTCCCAGTTTCCCTCCCTTGATTTTGTTTGCCTGCCCTGAAGCAGGATGTGGTGTTTGCCAACACTGAACCTGCCTCAGACTCCTTGGAAAGTGTTCAGACCTCAAATGGCAGGTGAGGTGGAACAAGATTCACGTGGCTGCACCGTGCCCCTCTGCCAGAAGGCAAAGGCTGAGCCACCCCATGACCTGCTAATGAGCCCTTCCCTCTTCCAGCAGGGCCCACTGTCCTCTCCTTTCACATCTGCAGGGAAGATTTGCTCCTGTAGGTTTTGAGATCTAGAAGATGGCCTTCCCCAGTCCCCTCTTTTCCCACAGCCCTGGGAAGTAGGAGCTCTTGCAGGTTTGTCCCAGTGGCAGCCAGGCCAGGAGGGAGCATCAGCTCAGTGTGTGCTGCTGGATCCCAGTCCTGTGACCCATCAGCTCCCTGGGCAGGGGCTGCTGACCTCACCATGTTTGTGGGTTTTTCTTATTTTAACAATAATTTGGTGAGCATCAGTCCATAGAAGCAGTGGGGGGGAGATGGAGAAATTTTGCCTTTTCATCTGGGGAACTTCATCTTGGTGTGCTTTGACAATGCTTGGGCTGGGAAAAAGGGAGGGAACAGGGGGTGTGTGGAGCCACCTGGGATGGAGGATTCTAGGTGGATCCCTGTCCTGCAGCTGCTGTCATAGGAAGGAAATCTCAGCACTGAAACTGCCAGGTTTGTTGTCTGAGCGTTGGAAGGAGTGCAGCTGCAACTGGAGGAACGAAAGGCACAGGTAACATTTCCCAGGTTCCCAGAGCTTGTGCCATGCAGGCTTCCCTCCCACAGCTGGAGAGTGCTCCAGGTCATCTCCTGGCTGTTTGTAATGGCAGGGGAGTGCTGTGATGCGTGTCCCTCCTGTAGTCTCGAGGTGTGTCTGATGGAAGCATAATCAGAGCAGGTTGGAGTCTCTGGAGGATGAACCTCCTTCCTTCCCAGCTGGAGGGATCTCTCTGCAGCTGGCTGCTCCAAAATAGCCTGATCCCTCAGAACAGGCTGTTGGTGCAGAGGAAGTTCCACGTGTGCCAGTGGTGATGAGGCAGAGATTTGTTCAAGCTTTTCTTGTTAGAGTCTGTAGAACTTCAAGGCTTCCTTTCTGGTGATGTTTGCACAAAAATATCCACTTTTATCTCTGTGTGAATCAGTTCTGGTTCAGCGGCGGCTCTTCCAGATGGAAAAAGACTCAGGAAAGAGTTGGGGGTGTAAGGTTTGACAGGTTAGTTTGGAATTGGGGTCTGGTTTTGGGGTAGTGTGTGGAAAACATCAGCGCTTCCCCATGTTCTTCTGGAAAAATCTCTGGGATGGAGATGACACACTCTGGTGTTAGATTTTCCTTTCCAGGTTGTTTTGAGTTTCTTCTCTGGGTAGGAAATTGAGTTTCTTCTCTGGATCTTCTCTGTGTGTAGACCCTTGATATCATTATGGGTGTTTTTCTTCGGGGTCTGCCCGTTCAGGGTGTGCAAGGCTGGGCAGTGGTGAGAAGTTCATGCTGGCACAAGGCAGCACGAGTATGACACAACCAAATAATAATTTTATTTATTTTCTCTGCCTGTGCAGAGGCACTCCATCACTACACATGATATAGTGCAGAGTTTTCCACACCAGTTTGGTACTGGGGCAGACTGGTGTGTCCCCATTACGGTCTCAGAACAGAGTGGTGGGGCTGTTGTTTGATGCTGTCCATGTGCATCTGGGACCACAAACTTCCTGGTGCCACTCTGGAAGTGATCTGAAAAGGGAAGGAGTGAAAAGGAGTGTCCAGACTGATACTTTGTGGGTCTGGAAGCAGACCTTTCCCTGGTGTTCAGGGTGCTGCTGAGGATGCAGAGTTGAATGTTAACGTGGGTGATATTCATGAATTCACTGGAGCTTGACGCAGAGATTCCAGGAACATTATAGAGCATCATCACGAGCCTCTTGTCGTGTTCTGCAATGCCTGGAGCACAGTGGGGCTGGACACCACCCCTGCTTCAACTGGTCAGGCCTTAGACTTTTCACTCTCCTGGCAGAGCAGTAGATCTGTGTGTGAGGAGGTGTTTCTGGGTGAGTGGGTGGGTTATCTAACCAGATCAAGGAAACCCGGTCCTGTCCCCGGAGAAGACTTGCATGTGTGAGCTCTGTTCTCTGCTCAGGGTGTCCTGAATAACCTGCCTGACCCTGGCTTGCCAGCAGTGGCACGGAAAAGCCTTGTGGGGACACTGGGCTTGGTGATTTCTGCTTCAGGCTGGGTGAGCTGGCTTGAGCAGCCTTTGCCCAAGTGCCTTCCAAGGTGTTGCTGCCCTTGTTGGGTGTTTTCTGAAGGTGTTCAGCTTCTCTTTTGCCCATGCTGGACTCCAGCAGGCTCTCAGTGAGCTGACACTCTGCAAACGGCAGGTAGAGGGCAGGCCCCACCGCTGGGATCTGCTGGCTCACACCCTGGGAGTGACGGGATGTGCTCCCAGCATGGTGTGTGTGTCACAGCAGGTGTGGTGGCAGCTCTCCATGGACCCTCCGTGATTTCACCTGCTCTGCTGGCCACAGGAGCCCAGCTGGAAGCAGCATTTCCTCATGGCTGTTTCTCCAGTGTGTTGTGGGAAGCTGGGGCTGTCCTTGGCCGTGGCTTTTCTCCAGCCTGCTGAAAATGTGGAGTATTTGGAGTCATGTCACAGTGAAACACTCCTGCTGACAACAGCCACTGCTTGAGCCTGGCTTTTCCTCAGCCCAGGGAGCTGTTTCACCCTGTTACAGAGGAGTGCAGCTTGGTTTGCAGGTCTGAATTTGTAGGTTACCCCATGACTACTGGGTTAGGGCTGGTGATGTTCTTGTGGTGGCTGAGGGTGTGCCATGTGTTGGGGAGGATGATGAGCAGGAAAAGGGGATGAGAGGCTCAGCTCTGCATGACTGCACCCCTCTGTGACTAAAAACCTCCTTGATGTGTTATGTGTTTGGGTCTGGGTGTGCTGGCACACCTGAGCTGTGAGAGATAGGCATTCTCATAGGCAAGTTTGACATGATGCTTTGGAGAAATGTGCTCATTTTTCCCCCTGTTGCTTTCTAATTTCTTCATAAATTAATAGTCTGAATCTACAGTTCTACATTTCTACATGTTTTATTTCACAGTGCTGGAGCAGGTGGCAGTTTCCTCTGGGACAGGCTGAAAAATTGAGTCATGAAACCCCCCAAAACCCCCTGACTGTTTTCATTCTTTCTCGATGTTTGTTCCTTCCTGCGAGCCTAGCTCCTGTGTGCCTGGGCGGGGGGTGTTTGGAGGAGGAATTCCTGGTGCAAGTTAGGAAGTACTGGCCAAACTGAGTTGTTGAGGCTGGAAACCACTTTCTGCTTCTGCCTGGCATCTCCCTGACGGTGGCTTTTTGTTTCTGTTGTCAGTGGGTATGCGGCCGACGAAATCACACACTGCATTCGACCACAGGACATCAAGGAGAGGAGAGCTGTCATCATCCTCCGAAAGTAAGTGTTGAAGCCCTCCAGACAGCAAAATAAACGTGGATGTGGTGTCATGATGCTTAAACACTTGAAAACTGCCTTGCTTGTTAATTTGCTGGCTTGATCTTACACCTTGATTAGGTGTCACTCTGGCGCTCGCTCGTGTCTTGCCGCACCCGGCAGTGGAAGTGGCTGGAACCTGTTCCTGCAGGGTTCATCACTTCTTGGCTCTGTGCAGCAGCACTTTGTTGTATTGTCTGGGGTTGCAAGCCCTGCTGGTGCCCAGACTGGCTTTCTTTCCTTTGGCTGCCCAGCTCCAAACACCTAGAGTATCAAACTCTCTTGCTTTGGGCTGTGTGTTCAGGTGTTGGCCATGTGATACCCACGTGTGTGAGTTATCTGGATGGTCTTTGAAGGTGATGCTTGTGATGAAGAATGTCCTGTGAAGCAGAGAAAGTTTTCTTGATATCGTGGCTTTTGTTTCCTGGGGAGAGAGGAAACACTGGCTTTGGAGGGAAGCACATAGAGAGTTCAATGCTCATTACAGAGCTTGTCCTTCGAGTATGTGTTGGGAAGCCAAGCTCCATAAGCTGTTTTAGAAAGGGGCTTCCTGTTCTGGAAGAGCACTCTTGATGGCATTTCATCAATCAGTGCTTGTTCCTAAAGCTCTTAAGAAAATGAGAGACAAAGTAAACTAATCCCACCCCAAAGTCCCTCAGTAAAACCTTCTTTTCTGCCTAGAAATCTCCTCTCTCATCAGTTCCTTCTACTAGGAGACCAAAACATGTGACTGCCACACATTGACCCCTGCTGACTGTGCCTTGGAAGGTGTTAGCAGCAATTCTGCTGTCAATAAGTGTCTTTGTCAATGAAAATACACACTTTGAGTCCTGTAAACCCAGCCAAAAACGTGGGCATTGGTGGCAGAGCTGTGGTTGTGGCCCAGGCTGGCATAAGGCTCACAGGCAAGTGGTCTGAATCCAGACTGGATGAGCTTTTGGATAGCTTAGTTGATTTCAAAACAAGTCTGGCAACATGATGAGGATATGGCACAAAGCCAGTGGAGTGGAGTTGGACATCTGGTTAGAGAAACCCATGGAATGAAGGCAGGAAAAACAGCAGCCCTGAGGCATTAGCCAAACAAAATCAGCCCAGACCCAGGGAGGCAGGATGAGATGTGGCAGGAGATAGAGTGGGATGAAAGGCAGGCTGTAGCCAAACCACCCCACAGCTGGGTATGGCCACGTGAGGTTTGGGGTGAGAGGCTGAGACAAGAACTTACAGCTGTTGTGTTCGTGGTGTTGGAGCAGCCAGGGAAAAGCAGCACAAGTGCTCACAAGCAGGCATCTCCAAGTCTTGTAGCTGCTTTGGTTGGACTTTGAGAAAGAGAAGCTGCCTGTCCTAGGTTGTGGAGTAGTTTTCTGGAAAAGACAGGCTCAGATAAATAAGCTAAAGTTGCCCAAACTGGTGCAGATATCCAATGTACCTGTTTAAACTGGCTCTGCCTCTTGCTTTCTCCAGCCTTGGTAAGCTGAGGGTGTTGGATTGTTTCAGTCAAGCCTGGCTGCCCTCAAAGTGCATCAGAGCAAGAAAGAACCTTAAACCTCACCTTGTTTCAGGCCCTGCCATGGGCAAGGATTCCTTCCACTAGACCAGGTTGCTCAGAGCCCTGGGCAACCTGTGCCAGTGCTTCACTGCTCCCTGAGTAAAGGATTTCTTTCTAATATGCAATCTAAATCTTCCCTCTTTTAGTTCAACACTGGTTCCTCTTGTCATGACCATCTCCCAATGTAAAAAGTTGCTCTCTGTGTTTTTTATAAGCCCCCTTTAAGTCCTGGGAGGAGCACTGAGGTCTCCCCAGTTGTACCCAGCTGCATTCCTGCTGGAGGGACAGAGCCTGTAGCTCTGCTGGCTTTGTTTGCTCATCCACCCTGATTTTTGGGGCCTGATTTGCTTCATGTCAGAGCAGAAGTGTCTCTGCCCATCAGACAGTGAGGAGCTAACCCGACAGACAAACCAGATGAAACCACACCAGGATTTTTCTCTGGAGCAAAGCACAAACCCCCTGGTGATTATTTCTCCGCAGCTGTGGTGAATCCTTGGCGATGTTTGCCAAAGGCTGGGCTGTGATTGCTGCCAAATAGAGCTTATTAATTGCTGCTTATCCCTGGCCAGGGTGGCCACCTCCCCGTGTCCCCTGCGTGTCCCTGCCCTTTGCCTGTGCCAGGATCTCTGCCCAGCGCCATTCCGCTCCCCGGATCGGATCATGCGGCTGCGCCTGGAACAGGCTGTTGTGCAACCAGGAAAGCAGCTCCTTCCCCTGGTGGCCTGCAAGCACGAGAGGCCTCGTGAAACTCCTCTTCCTCATCTTGGTGGTGAGGATCAGCCCTGAGCTTTCCAGATCAGATCAGTTGGATCCTCCCAGTCGGAGCTGGGATGTTCGGCTCCGAATTCTGCCGGAGCCCGCCGGGTCCCAGACGTTTGAGTCTGGCTCTGCTCTGCCTCTGCTCCGAGCGTGTTCTCACTGACAGCAGCAGGAGAACGAAGCTGTGGGAGCTGGAGGGGCAGTGCAGTTCAGGATTCTCCAGAGCAGTGTGGTTACCAAGCAGGTCATAAACACTTCAGTGCTCGGTGTTTGCTGTGTTGGATCGCAGGGCTGCCGGGAGCCAGCAGGGTTTGGAAGTGCTTTGAGCCAGAGGAGGGGAGGAATGGTGCTCTCAATTTATGAGATGCTGAGAGAGGTACCGTGGGAGGTGGGTGTAGAAATGAGACCTACTCAACCTTGAAAGCAGTTTTAGAGGCTTTTGCTGCCATTCTGCTTTCACTCTCATAAGCAGAGTTTGTCTATTTGTAGGTACATTGTTCTCCATGTCAGTGTCACCTCTCCTTGCACCTGGCCAGAGGGAGCTTGGCTGGTGTTCCCTTGCCCTTGCAGTGTGTTGGGGGTTGGTTTGTTTGAATTGCAGCCCCGCAGTTGCTGTTGAATTTGAGAGGTATTTAAACCACCTTCCTTGACACAGGCAGGATCTTCAAGACCTTTGGTGTTCAGGCTGGACTGGGTCCAGCCCTGGAGCTGAGAACAACTCAGGATGACAGCATGGACTAGCACAGGCTCCAACCTGGCAGCTGCCTGTGCAAGTGTTCCTTGTTTCTGGCATGCTGGGCAAACTCAGGCTGCCATGCCCAGCTTTGCCTGTGCCAGACTGGCATCACCCTCATTAGCTGAAGAGGCTCTCCCTGATGGCAGAGAGAAGCTTGGCAAGTGGATGTGCTTCCTAATGGAAGTTTAAATTGGGATTCTCCTGTGGAAACCTCCCTCAGGAGCTGAAGTTCAGCACTGGAGAGCAAGTAGTGGTTCTCCCCCTTCATTTTTGCTGCCTCCTCCACCTGTGCATGGCTACAGTTCTGTGACTGTTCTCTTTTGGGATGAGCTCTGCTTGCTCTCCAGCATAGCTTGAGTGTGTGCAGAGCTGCTGGAAGGGATGTATGATGCAGCTTCTGTTTGCTACACCTTCTCCTGACTCGTACTTCAACTCTCTGCACTGTGTAGTCAAGCTGAGGAGCACCTGACCCCGGGAGATCCGTGGGCAGGAGGGAGTTTCCAGGTGGAAGCAGTTATTACTGTTGCAGGTGATGATGCTTTTGCAGGGCATCTCCCAGCCAGGTGGCTTAACTGGAGCTGTGAGTTATTGCCAGGTGATTTCAGGGGATTTCACAGCTGCTCCAGCAACTCTGCTCCTTATCCCAGAGCTGGGGTTGCAGTGAGCTCAGCACCTTTTGCATTCACCTCATGACTGTGTGTCCCTAAGCCAAGGCAGAATAAAGGGCAATGGCTTCAAACTGGCAGAGAGTATGTTTAAATTAGATATAAGGAAAAAATCCTTTCCTGTCAGGGTGCTGAAGCCCTGGCACACATTGCCCAGAAAAGTTGTGGCTGCCCCATCCTTGAAAGTGTCCAAGGCCAAGGTGGACAGGGCTTGGAGCAATCTGGGATAGTGGAAGATGTTCCTGCCTGTGGCAGGGGGTTGGAAATGAGATGATCTTCAGGGTCCCTTCCAACTCAGACCATTCTGTGATTCTGTGAAGCTGCAGCTTGTTGTGCAGTGGAATGGGGTATTCCTGCCCCTCCTCCTGAGCTGTGTGGTAGGGGTGGAGGGCTCTGCTGTGATTCTGTAGAAACTCCTTGCAAATTCTTTTCTCTTTTAATATTTGCAGAACAAGACTAGATGCACCTCGATTGGAAACAAAATCCCTGAGTAGCTCTGTGTTGCCACCAGGTTACAACTCTGACCGCCTGTCGGGAAGCAACCGGGACCAGATCCTGAAGCCAAAGCGGTCCCATCGCAAAGCAGACCCTGATGCTGCCCACAGGTAGGATCATCTCTCCTAAAAGCCATGTTTGGGATGTTGTCTGTGGATCAGTGCATAGCTGAGGTCCCTGGCGTCGGAACATATTGAAAACCATTCTGATTTGCACCTGCCAGGTGCTTTCTGCAGTGCCCAGATCTGTTTTATCAGAATGAGCTCTTTGTACGTTCCTCCCAGACTTGTGGAGGCTGAGCTCTGGCTGTAAGCAGCTTACATTGTTTATCCTGTGAGTGGCATAATGAAGAAGCAATAGATTTGGCTGGCTTTTGATAATGCAGTCGTTCAGAACAATAGTTTCCCTGCAGCTAATCATTTTTGACCTCTATTGCCAAGCAACCTATGCAGCTGTGTTAAACTATATTATGAAAGCAGTCCTGGGAGGGAATGTGAGGGTTTGCTATCTGGGAAAGGTTAAGGACTTCTTGGGAAGCTTCTCAGGCCTGTTTTGATTCCAGAGCTCTGTGTGTGTATTTTTGTGTGAGAAACCAGACCGTGTGGATGTTTAAGCCTGACCTTCAGGGAAGCTCCTTGCTGAGGTTTCAGACAATCTTGAGCTCTGCAGCAAGGCTTCCCTTAAACACCTTGGTGTGAGCACACTGCTGGCTGTGAGTGACAGCCAGTCTGCCAGCTGTCCTGCATATTCCAATTCCAAAGCTTCCTGAAGATCCAGATGGCATTCTCTGCACAATGGGTACAACCCAAAAGTTGATTTGGTCCCAGGGCTTGGCTGCCACGTGGTGCCAGCCCTGTTTGAACCTGTCCCGGAGGGAGGAGGGTGGGGATGGTTTGTTTGTGAGCAGTGTTCATTCACCTGGATGCAGGCTGGAAGATGGATGAAGATCTGGGGCTGGGCTGCAGATGCAGCTTCCCTGGGAGCAGGCAGAGGGCCGGTGTCCGATTAGAGGAGCGATCATGCGGGACAAATGTGCACATCCCTCAGAGCTGTTTGTCAGCCTGATGTGACCTTATCAGGCTGTGGGGGATGGCTTGCATAGGCTCCTGCAGCAGATGGGTGTGAAAAACATGTTTTTCCTCTTTCTCTGGCCTCAGAGACTCCAGTATAACAGACAATTCTCATGGGTATCATAGTGGGATCTCTCAGGAACCACTCAGATAAAGTGGTGTGTGCAGCCCACCAACCCAGTCCTGCTAGAAAGTGATCAGAGGCAGCTCTGCAGAAATAACAATTGCACTGTGCTAATATTTGAGAGAACAAAGGATTTTGGAGCTGTGGTGTGATCCTGCACCGTAAGGAGCTCAGCTCTGTGCTCTGAATTCTGCTGCAGTAGAGACAGACCCCTCTGCTCAAGGGATTTTACTTGGGGCCATAAGCTGCAAGCAAAAAAAAAAAAAAAAGAGGTTGACTGGAAGTGTTCTAGTGGAGGTAAAGGCCAAAGCTTGCCTTGGGAAGGGAAGGACCTGGCCCATCATAGTAAAGTTCTCAGTTCCTCCAGGGAGCTGCAGCCTGGTGATCTATTCCTGCTCTGCCAGGTGCCCAGTGCTGGGAAAGCAGTGGGAAAACAGGCAGAGCTATCCCGGCAGGTAACCTGCAGATAGTGTCCAGAGGAACGCCTGGACCCCCTCGTGCTGTGCTCTCACTCCTGTTTTCTCCCTCTCCACAGGCCACGGATCCTAGAAATGGATAAGGAGGAGAACAGGCGTTCAGTCCTCTTACCAAAACATAGGAGACGGAGCAACTTCAGCTCTGAGAACTATTGGCGAAGGTCTTACGAGTACACGGAGGACTGTGACGAGGAGGAGGAGGATGGCAGCCCCGCCAGGAAAGTTAAAATGAGACGACACTGAGGATTGCACTTCCCAGGCTCGTGGAGCTCTTGAGATTGGCCTCCAGTCTGTGAAAACTTTCTCCTCCCTCTGGCTATCTTCCATCTAGCTTCAGTTTTGGTTTTTCCTTTCAGGCTGAAGAGTAAACAGGAAGGATTTGGTTTTATGAATGGAGGGATGCTGAGACGTACGTGAGGATGGAGCATGGTGTCCTGAGTCATGGGTCAAGCTGGCATCTCTCCCTTAGGAAGCAGATAAAGTTATGCCAGGTTGTCTGTTGGGATTTCTTTTGAAAACACCAAAAAGTTTAACTGTTTCATTGCGCAAGATTCAAGAATTGTATTTTTGTTTTGGTTTTCTGTTGGTTTTTTTTTTTTTTTTTTTTTTTTTTTTTTCTTTTTTTTTTTTTTTGCTTTAACACTTTTCCTTTCCAAATGTTCTAAATATGATGTTTGACCCCAGGAGCTGAAATTCCATGGTGGGCTCGTATTCCTTGTTTCACCAAAGGGCTCCTTGGTCTTTTTTACCTGGTGGTTGTTGGGTCTGTTTTAAGGGTGCCCTGCAGTAACTGGAAGTTTGAAGCTTTGCAGACCCCTCTTGCTGTGATCGATTTCAAAGGGTTTAGGACATTTTTGTTGCACTTTAGTGTTTTAAATGCCGTAGGTTTCCTTTCCAGACCCTTTCCCAAGCCAGCATGGGCTCGCAGCCCTGTGTCCCTGCGCTGCCCTCTCCAAGAAGAATGTACTAGAGCTCTGGTTTCTCAGTGCTGGTCTGACTGGGGCTGTGGTTCAGGAGGAAGGAAACGTGGCCCAGCATTGTCCTGAGATCCATATTGGAATCTCAGGGCTGCCAAGTGAGGGATCACACTGAGTATGTGCTGCTTCCCAGAGCTGGGGATAGCAAAGAGGAGTAGGAGACGCTGTGCTTGTGAGGGCTTGTGCCTTGGGACCCCCAGAAGAGCCCTTTCCACTGCCCCTTCCAGGTGGAGAGAGCTGAGTGGGTGCAGCATTCCCAGCACAGTGCCCCATCCCGAGGGATTGGCTGCACTCTCATGGAGCAGGAACAGGAGCTGCTGTGGCCTTGGGGGAGCTGAGCAGCTCTGTCCCCTCCGAGGCTGGCTCTGGGAGCAGGGACGCTGCAGGGCTCGAGTTTGGCCCCAGTTCAGTGCATCCAGCACTGCAGTTGCCTGCTTTCTCCGGGCTTATTCCTGCCTGTGTTCCTGGGGTAGGGAGTTTTCTGGTTGCTACAGGAAATGCTGAGAAGAATCAGGCATTCAGCCCCGTGGAGTTGTGACAGAGCATCTGCCATCATCATCCTCTTCTCCCACCCGGTTTGTGTTAGCCCAGACCAAAGCCTTGGTGTTTGCAAAGTTTGGGGCCCAATGCCATATTTAGAGCTGTACTTTTAAGGAAAACTTCCTCCAGTTGATTCTTTGAACCCAAGTGTTGGCAGTTGTAAGGAGTAGTCTTATTTTTAAATTTTTACTGCTTTGCCCTCCCTCCAATTGTAGTTTTTCTTAGTGTCGTGTCCCCCACACACTTCATGGTCTGCACGCTTGGCAATAAAAAGATGTAATATATTTTGAAACTTGTTTGCTGCTGTCGTGAGGGGCTCCTGGTCTAAAACAACCACCCAGGCGTTGTTCCCTGCAGTGCTGATCGAGGACATTTGCTGACATCTGAGTCCCACTGTCCTTTTCCTTCCCTGCTGATTTTCACCTGGTGTTGGGGTCCTGCTCAGGCTGGATCTTGTCACATGAGCTCACAGTGCTGGCTCTGGGGGTGTTGGTGAGGTCCCCACTGCCTGTCTCTGATTATCCAGTGGTTTTCCTGGTGAGAGCTCCCACTGGCTCCGTGCTGAGGCACAGCCTCTGAAGGAACATGTCTTGTCAGTGCAGAGATGCAAAAGTTTGTGCTTCTGCTGCTTGTGAAACCTTGAAAATGCCATTTTCAGACCACACGTAGCATTTGAAGCGATGTTCCTCACCCCCCCCCCCAGCTTTCTGCTGTGAATCCAGGCCAGCTCTTGGCTACAAACCCCCTGTTTTGGGCAGCTTGGCATTCCCCTGGCAGCAAAACTGCACGCAGGGAGCAGAGATCCCTTCTCCTCCTGATGGCTTTGTCCTTCTGGATCCATCCTGGCCATGCCCTGTTCCAGTCACGGTGCCAGGCTCTGCTGTGGGTGCAGACAGTGACAGAGGTCACTGCCAGAGGTGTCAGCTCTCCCCTCTCCCCTCCTGGCTCCCAATTTTATCCCTGCCTCTCCAATATGGATACTCTACCCTGCTGTCAACTCAAAATGAAGCTGGAGCAGCTGACCTTTCCACAGCTGCTTCCCAGAGCAGGACTTCCATGGGATGAGGTGCTGGCTCTGTCTCTGGGCATGCTGAGTGCTTACACCTCTGTCCTGGTCCCAGCCACCACCTCATCCTGGTCCTTTTGCAGGCTGTACACGTGCAAGATTCCTTTCCCAGCTTGTTTTGGTATTCCTGCATGTCCTGCTCCGGAGCTTTCCCCCTGTTCCCATCCTGCAGTGGGTCAGAGCTGGCAGCGTGGCTGGGGGGACAGGAGGAGCTCCTCTCCAGCCACCACCTGCTCTTGGTTTTAACCTGACTGCTTGGGGCTTGGCACCTTGGAAGAGAGAGGGAGCAAGGGATCCCTCAGGAGAGGAGTCCCCGGCGTGCAGGCAGGGCCATCTTCCCACTTGTACAGACATTTTCTATAGACACGGATGTATATGTGTAGATAACATGGTTTTTTAACTCTTTTGCACTGAACAACATCAGAGTGAAACCTGGATTGGAAACTAGGAGACATTTTTCACACGGATCCAGAGGTCTGGATCCTTCCTGTAACCTGTCTGGTTGAAACTGTGGCTCGGAATTCCTGGTTTTCACTGTTGGGCTGCACGCAGGCATCAGGGCAGGCTGGTGGCACGGGGCTGCTGCTGAGCAGGGAGCGGGGTGAGCTCGAGTTTGGAGGCAAAACTTCTCAGCAGGCTCACCCACAGCCCTGACCCTGTTAGTTTGTTGTGTTTCTGATCTGGTTGTGTGTGGTCCAACCTCTCCATGCACCCACAGCGTGTCCGTGCTCAGCCCCGAACTGGGAGCTACATCCAGTGTGACAATCCATGTGCCCAGACTGGGAGAACTGTCTTTCCTAAGGAAGGGGGAGGAAGGTGGGGTTCATCCCTGCTTTTCCACAAAGAACAGGAGGGATTGGGGTTTGTTACTGTTACCGTATCTCCAGAAGGGTCAGTGGTGGAATTATCCAAGCCCATGGATCAAAACAGCTGCCAGGTTTTGAGGAGGACTCGGGGGGGTCCAGGGTCTAGACCCCCACCAGCAGCAAAGAGTCTTTTACCTGCCAAAAGTGTTCCCTTTCCCCTGTTGGGAGGAGAAACATTTGACTGAGAAATGTCTTTGCTCCTTCCCCTGCCCACACTTAGAAGTTCTGGCTGACTTTAGTTTTTGTTTTTTAAAAGATTCTAATTTTTTTTGTTACCAATAAAAATAAAAATTAAAAAAAAATAATAAAAAAGAAAGTGGCAATATTTTTTTCTGTAAGCTTTTCCTAGGAAAAAGCGTGGTTTGTAACAAAGTTGTACAGTTCTGAAGTTTGAGATACGAGAAGTACTGTGTGAAACGCTGTAAATGGAGCAGAGATTATTTTATGTACAGTCTGACGTGGGGGAATCTTTTAATTCCAATTGATTCTTAGGAAGAATTTGGTTCTTCACTGTCAGGGTTTGGAATTTCATGGTTTCATTATTTTTTTTTTTCTTGTATAGATTGCTGCATTAATTGAATAAAAGCAGAAAGCATCTCTTGGCCTGGCTGTGTGGTACTGGGGGCTGGGACGTGCCTCGATTTCCCCTGGCAGGAATGAGGTGGTTGGGAGCAGAAAACTGGTTCTAAATAAAGGGAGTCACCGGCTCCCCGGGGACAGGGCGGCCAAATGCAGTGGCTGTGCTTCCCGTGCTGTCCTAGAAAGCAGGGACAGGGATCTCTCCTTCCTCCCCTGCCTGCCAGCACCTTGTGCTGAGCCCCTCTTCCTCCTGGTGCCTCCCTCCTGCAAGAGGGAGATGGGATGGGTGCGATGTGCCAGAGAGAGGATGGATGGGATCTGCTGGTCTGTGGCCTCTCCTCTCCTCTCCTCTCCTCTCCTCTCCTCTTCTCTTCCCCCCCTCTTTCACTTTCTCTTCTCTTCCACCTGTAGTGCTTGTTATCCAGCCTCCTCTGAGGCCACTTTTACCATCACATTCTCCAAACACAGGAGACACTCTGTGCCGCTTGTGTCCTCTCCTCCCCTCTCCTCTCCTCTCCATCTCTCTCTTCTTCCCCTCCTCTCTTCCTCTTCTCCCTGCTCCTTTCCTCTCTTCTTCACACCTCTTTATCTCTTATTCCCTTCCTCTGCCTCTCCTCTTTCTCTCCTCCCCTTTTCACTACCCCCTTCTTTCTCCCCTCTGCTGTTCTCCCTCCTCTCAGTTCCTCCTCCCTCTCCTCAGAGCAGACCCATCCTGCCCACCCTCAGTCCCCGGGGCTGTGCCGGCGCCTCAGGCCCCTCCATCCACCCATGAGCCCACAGCCCACCGCCGGGGCATCGTTCCCCGCTCTCCCCCGGGCTGTTTTCCGCTCCAAACCCCTGCGTCAGCCCAGAGCCGCATCTCCCCGGGGCCGGGGTTAGTCAGCAGGGAGGGGAAGCCGTGCCCTGCCCGGGGTGACTCACCCCAAAACTGGGTGCAGGGCAGGCTGCTCGCCCTCCCACCTTGCCATGATGCCGTGGGGGGAGTGGGGAACAACATTCCCGGTGGCCTGGCGGGAACAATGAGTCGCCAGCCGGGAATGAGGCTCGGATGCTAATTCTGGGAGCCGGCAGGATGCTCCGGGCCTAGGAGCCGGGGCGCCGCCATGTTGGTGCACCCCATGGCTGTGGGGCACAGGATGAGACCCTAAATCCGCGACACCCCATGTTTGTGAGGGCTTTGTGACCACGATGACCAGGCTTAGGGTATCCTCGCTGTCTCTTCCTATGCCCACGGGGAGGGAAGACACCGAAAGAAGTGTATTTAAAAAATAATATAAATAAAGCCAGCGTAGAGGACGCTGAGTTGGACGACTACATATCCCATCGGCAGCCGCGGCGGCGCAGGCGCAGCGCGGGTAGGCGGGGCCGCGGCGCGCGGCGCGCGTTGCCGCGCAGTGATTGGCGGGCGGAGCTGTCCGTCAGGGTTCCGCCGGGACCGCCGGCCGCGCCCGCCCCGCCCGGTACCGCGCCGCCGCCACCGCCGCCGCCGGCCCAACCATGATGAAGTTTCGGTTCCGGCGGCAGGGTGCCGACCCGCACCGCGACCGCCTCCGCCACGACCTCTTCGCCTTCAGCAAGGTGCGTGTAGAGCGAGCGGGGGGCGCGGCGGTGGATCCCGGGGGGGCGGCGACCGCCGGGAGGCACCGGGAGTACCGGGCAGGGTGCGGCGAGAGGGCAGCCCCCCGGGGCCGCGGGGCTCTGGTACCCCGGCGGGATGCTGCCCGCGGGGAGGCGAGCAGCGTGCGGGGCACCGCCCCCCGGGACCGGCCGAACCCCCGGGGGAGCCGCGCACCGGGACCTCCCCGCTCCCGGGGCACGGGCACGCAGAAAGGGCAGGGCTGCTCGGCCGGGGGATCCCGGGACCGGCTGCTGGGCCGCCCCGAGGGGATGCACCCCCGGGAGCCGCGGGATGCGGACCGGGGGCTGCGCTCCTCCCCGTGCGGTGCAGGGGGGCACTCCGGGAGGGGATGCCGCCCCCTCAGCAGCGCGACATCCCTGTCCCCAGCCCCTCTTGGAGGGGTTCCCTGGAGCCCCCCGACTCCCTCTGTCCCGTGCATTCCCCGAGGCCTCGCTCACGGGCGTTTTGGGGTGACCGTGGTCCCGCACCCTGCCTGGCCTTGGAGCATCCCTGGCTGCATCCCCTTGTGGGGCTCAGCCCCTCACCCCCGGCTCCCCAAGGGTGGGATATTGAGGGGCTGGACCCCCTGTGTGAGCCGGAAGGGCTGTGGTGATCACCCCCTGGGCTTTTGGGGTTCCCTGGCGCCCCAAAGATGTGTCTCTGTGGGAACATGAGAGGTCAGCGCTTGCCCCCCTCCTCCCTCCGAGTTTTCCCACTTGCCCCCCTCATTTGGGATGGGAGAGACCCCCAAGCTTATCAAACAACCCCGGAACGACCCCCCCCCCAGCCCTGGGGTGCCAGAGCCTTCCCTCGGGACATGGGGTGCCCACCTGGGGCTTGGTGCACCCAGAAGTGCCGTGGCCTTGGGACCGTTCTCCTGCCCTGGCCGCGGGGCATGAGACCACCGGCAGCAGCCCCTGGATGAGCCCAAACCGTGCCCATCATCAGCCCATCACTCGGCAGCATCCCGGCACTGCTCTGGGGTACTTGCCCCGCTCCCGGTGGGGACGCTGCCGTGCACCGGAGCGACCCCCGGGCTGTCCCACAGCGGGATGGGGCTGCGGGGTGTGCCGTGCTGAGGGTCAGAGCCAGCTCCGCTGCCCGGCACAGCCCTGACCCCACAACTCGCTGCCGTGGGTGAGGGTCTGGCCGGGGTGCAAGGCTCGGCCCAGCCAGAGCCCCCCTGTTTTTGGGGAGCACGGTGCCACGGCCGGATGCTGCCCGAAGCAGTGCCCAGGGCGGGTGGGATGTCCTGGGGGGAGGCTGAGGAGAGCCCCTCTCCGGCCGTCCCAGCCCTGCGGCCGCCGGCTGCCCACCTGCCTCCCATTAAGGGTTGTTTTTCCTCCCGAGCTCCAGATCTGCCTGGGATTTGCTGTAATTTGGCCGGGAGCGAGCCTTGGCCGGCCGGCACAGCCTGCCGGATGCGGCCCCGCTGCGGGCGGGGGGCTGAGCCGGGCCCCCCTTTGGCACTGGGAGTGCTGGGGAACTGCGACAGCGCTTTTTGGGGAATCTTTGCCGGTGTCACCGTGTTGGTTTCTGGCCTAAAGCATCGCTGTGGTGTCCCTGTGCTGCTGCTGTCCCAGCTCCGTCCTCCAGCGCAGCCTGCATCCCGGGGGGGTTCAGCATGACCCACCAGCATCCACTTCCTCACCCCCTGGACCTTTTGGGACCCGCTTGGATGGGTCAGGACTCCTTGGATGGGCTGGGGACGTTTTCACGCTCCTGAAGGTGTCCCCTGGGAGGGGAGCAGGAGCTGGGGTGACAGCGGCCGCCGCCGGCGGGTGCGGAAAGCCGCCCCGCTGCGCCTCTGGGATGCCCCAGACAAAGGGAGCAGGTCAGGATCCGGCCAGTCTGGCTCCGGCGGCCTCCGTATCGTCTGATCGCGCCGTCGCTGCTCAGCCGAGCTGCCCTCGGGAGCCCTGCGGTCCCCGCACCGCGGGCCGGGCCGGTGGGTGCCCCCCGCTGCCGGGGCAGCCCCTCCCCAGCCGGCGAGCCCGGGCACGCCGGACGGCCGGGACTTCCTTGGGAAGGTGCCCTCGGGGGACACGCGGCTCCGGCGGGGACGTCCCTGGCGCTGGCGGGTCCCGCTCGCCTGGTTCTGCCGCCCGGCGTGGGGGACGCCCGCTGATGTGGCAGTGGGGGTCCCGCTCGCCTCTCCGGGGGTGCCCTCACCTCGGGGGTTTGGAGCAGGGGGGTCCCATCCCCAAAGTGCTGGCGAGTGGTGGGGACAGCTCGTTCAAGGTCAGAGCTACCCCGGCCCGCGGTGTGGCTGCTGGGATGGGGTTTGGGGTGCTGGGTGGAAATTGGGTGAGGAGTGATGTCCCCCCTCCCCAAGGTGGCACTGGGGGACAGAGCAGCATCTTCGTCATCCCCCATGGCAGGGGTGATGCTCAGGCTGGCGCGGGACCGGAGCTGTGAGGGTGAGGGGGGCTGGGGAAGGTTTGGGGGTGTCAGAGGTGGGGGGTCCCGCTCTGACCTGCCTGTCCCCGTGGCAGACGGTGGAGCACGGCTTCCCCAGCCAGCCCAGCGCCCTGGCCTACGACCCCGTGCTGCGAGTGATGGCCATCGGCACCAAGGCGGGAGCCGTCAAGCTGTATCCTTTTCCTCCCGCGTGAGCAGGCGGTAAGGACCTCCCGGACCCTCCTGCACTCACTCCTCTGGCTCTCCCCATCCCGGAGAATGCTTGGAGACGTGGCTGTGCTGCTTCTGGCCCATCCGGCAGCCCCCACTCGGCTGCCGTCCATCCCTCCGTCCAGCTGTGCCGCAGCTGGGCCGGGCGGCGAGGGGGCGGCTGCAGGAAACCCCCACCTCGCCCAAAACGCCGGGGGGGGAAAAAAGACCTCGGGGGGCATCCCAATGAGGGTCCTTCCTGCTGTTACCCCGCTTATCCCGGGGGGCTCCTGTCCACCCTGCAGCCCTCGGGGGAGGAGGCGGCGCCGGGGAGAGGGGCTGCGGTGGGCGCGGAGCCCGGTCCCGGGTGGGGGGCCGAAGCGGGGGACGCCGAGCGGGGCCGGCCGGGCTTTGTTGCCGGCGGCGTGCAGGGAGACTTCAGAGGGCTGCTGGCGGGCGGCCAGGGCTGGATGCGGCCCGTGCTCGGGGGGCCCCGCGCCGCAGGAATGCGGGCTGGGGGCGCGGGGGCGGCTGCGCCCGCAGCGGGGTCGGGGCGTGGGGGGCGGCCGCGCTCCCCCTCCCCCCGGCCGGCGGCTCGCTGCCTCCCGAGCACAAAGATGGCGTGTTTTGTTCTGCCGGGTGCCAGCCCGGCCGCGACGTCGCCGGCCGCCCCACTCGCCCGCCTGGCCCGCGGTGCCGGTCCCAGCTGAGCCCACCCCCTCTCCCCCGGCACGGCGGGGATGCGGTTGTGGGGGGCTGCGGTGCTCTGAGCATCCTCTGCGGGGATGGTTTTGGGGTGGTACCCAGCGTGGTACCCCGTGCCTACACGGCCCAGCTCCGGCTGCCTCCAAAAAGATGCTTCTGGAGGTTGGCGGGGCCGGGGAAGCCGGGGCCAGGCGAGGCAGCAGCCGGAGCTGGCCTGACTGGCGTTACTGGTTAGTGGGGGCACCCCTGGGTGCTCCCCGGCCGGGCTGGGTGGATCTGGTTGCCGACAGCCCGGCATTGAGGGGCAGCCAGTGCCTGGGGGGGTCTCCTGGGGCAGCTGGGGGTCCCCTCTCTTGGACCCCCATCCCACATGCTGGTGACACTGGTGTGCCCGAGCTGCTTGCCCTGAGGGCTCTCAGCTTGTGGCACTATTTAGGGTGGGGAAAGACCCCAGAACGGGCAAAGATGGGTGGCATCCCTCATGCGTGTCGCACCGAGAGCCCTCTGCGTGCTCCCTGCTTCATTCCCATGCCCTGTCGCCTGCTCTCCCCAAAACTCCGTGGATGTCACCTGGCTCTGCCGGCTCAGCTGTGCCCAGCGCTGCCAGACAGCCCCTGCCTGTTCCGCCGGGCAGAGCCGCCGGGCTGGTTCCCTGTGCCCAGGGCGCCAGAAGGCGGCCAGGAGCAAGGACTGCCAGCACACAGCATGCCCAGATGGGGCTGCACTGGTGACACCGGGCTGGGGGCAGCAGCTGGCCGGCTCTGGGGGTGCCGGGGGTGCCAGGCCGGGCTGCTCCGTGCGGTGCCGCAGCCTCTGCACGGGTCCTGCCGCTGTTCCTGCCGAGCGGCGTCGCCGAAGGAGCCGGGACCAGTCGGGCGAGTGCGGCTGTGCCGGCACATACCGAACCCCACCCCGCTGCCTCTACACCCACCCCAGCTGTGTGTGCTGGCCGCAGCCTGACCTGGGACATCCCGGCAGGAGGTGGTTGGTGGATCCCAGCCTGACCTGGGACATCCCGGCAGGAGGTGGCTGCTGGATCCCAGCCTGATCTGGGACAGCCCGGCAGGAGGTGGCTGGTGGATCCCAGCCTGACCTGGGACAGCCCGGCAGGAGGTGGCTGCTGGATCCCAGCCTGACCTGGGACATCCCGGCAGGAGGTGGCTGGTGGATCCCAGCCTGACCTGGGACAGCCCGGCAGGAGGTGGTTGGTGGATCCCAGCCTGACCTGGGACAGCCCGGCAGGAGGTGGTTGGTGGATCCCAGCCTGACCTGGGACATCCGGGCAGGAGGTGGCTGCTGGATCCCAGCCTGACCTGGGACATCCCGGCAGGAGGTGGCTGCTGGATCCCAGCCTGACCTGGGACAGCCCGGCAGGAGGTGGCTGGTGGATCCCAGCCTGACCTGGGACATCCCGGCAGAAGGTGGCTGGTGGATCCCAGCCTGACCTGCAGTGTCCCAGCTGGAGGTGGCTGGTGGATTTCAAGCTGATTCAGAGCATCCTGGTTGGAGTTGGAGGTGCCTGGTGGATCCTGGATGGGGATGATGGTGCCAAGGCCAGTTCTGGCAGGGAGTGCGGCCAGGGATGCTCTGCCCCAGCCCTCCTGGGGACAGCGGTCTGAACTGGTATTTGCAGGCAAATCTGTGACCTGAGGGAATTCTGAAGGTCCTGAGGTTTACCGGGGAAGGGTGGGGGAGCTCTTCCCTCGTTGTTTCTTTGATGGCCCCCCCAGATATGGTGCGCCAGGCGTAGAGCTGACAGGCCTGCACAAGGAGACAGCCACTGTCACCCAGCTGCACTTCCTTCCCGGCCAGGTACGTGGGTGTCCCGGGGGGGAAGCTGTCAGCAGCCCCCCAGCACCTCACACACCCCTCTATCATCCCCCCATCCCCAGGGCTGGCTCCTGTCGCTGCTGGACGACAACACGCTGCACCTGTGGGAGGTGTGCCAGAAGGAGGGCTGCTCCCACCTGGAGGAGACGCGCAGCTTCGGCCTCCCGGGCCGCCCAGGGTCCGGCAGCGCTAAGTACTCGCCTGGGGGGGTCGGAGCCGCTGCCAAGCTGGGAGCGACGCGTGGGAGCAGCCGGCCTGCTGGGGTGGGATGGGGGCCAAGGTCCTCTCCGTGGTGGTGTTTTCCCCACTGGGGATGCTCCTCTGATCTCAGCTGAGATGCTGAGTGCGGGGAGAAGCTCTGGATTGTTACGGTGCTGGCAGGACCCGGGGGTGATGAATGGCTGTAATTGCAGTCAGCGCTGAGGCTGTCCTTGCCCTTGTCCTCCTGCGCTCAGGGAGATGGGAATGTAGGGATGGAGCAGGGGAGGTCTGGGGTCTCTTTGATGCTCCCCCAGCCCCAGGTGCTGAGGCAGCCCCTGTTCCCCCTCCAGCTGCTCCCCTGGCATCACACGTGTGACAGTGGTCCTGCCGATGGCTGCCGGTGCCATGGTCTGCCTGGGCACCGAGGGTGGTGCCGTGTACTTTGTCACCCTGCCCACCCTGACGCTGCTGGAGGACAAAACCCTCTTCCCGGATGAGATCCTGCAGAGGTGAGAGCCCTGCAGGCCCCACGCCCCGTCCCCAGCACCCCCAGCCCATCTCTGACCCCCTGTGCCTGTCCCCCCGCAGTGTCCCCGATGAGTACCGCTGCGGGAAGGCGCTGGGGCCCGTGGAGTCCATCCAGGAGCACCCACGCAACGGCAGCCGGCTCCTCATCGGGTACAGCCGGGGGCTGCTGGTCCTGTGGGAGCAGAGCACTCGTGCTGTCCAGCACCTCTTCCTGGGGAACCAGGTACCGTGGCTGGCGTGGCGGGGCCGTGGCCCTGTGTGGGTGTCCCCATCCAAGTGCTGAGCCCCCCGTGTGGCCCCGCAGCAGCTGGAGAGCCTGGCCTGGGAGCAGAGCGGGAAGAGCATCGTCAGCTCCCACAGCGACGGCGGGTACATGGTGTGGGCAGTGAGCGGCACCGCGCAGAGGACCCAGCAGCCCGTCATGTCCACCATCCCCTACGGTACAGGATGGGTGCTGAGGGGGCTCTGGCCTTGGGAGCTGATGCCCACATATCGCAGTGCTACAGCCAGTGTTGGTGTCTTCGTTTCAGGGCCGTTCCCTTGCAAAGCCATCAGCAAAATCCTCTGGCGAACCTGCGAGTCAGGGTAGGTGGGTGGGCTGGGCATGGGCGCAGGGGGCACTTGGGGCTCCAGGGTCTGATGGCAGCTGCTTTGTCCCACCCAGGAACCCCTTCATCATCTTCAGCGGGGGGATGCCACGGGCCAGCTACGGTGACAGGCACTGTGTCAGCGTGCTGCAGGGCCAGACCCTGGCCACGCTCGACTTCACCTCCCGCGTCATTGACTTCTTCACTGTGCAGAGCGCAGAGGTGCCCGAGGGAGGTACGTCCTGCCAGGGCCACCCGGGGACTGGGTGATGGTGTGGGGGTCTCCACGTGCAGCCATCTCCCCCTTCCCCAGGCTTTGAGAACCCCCGAGCCCTCGTGGTGTTGGTGGAGGAGGAGCTGGTGGCCATCGACCTGCAGACGCCGGGCTGGCCCACCATCCCTGCCCCGTACCTGGCACCTCTCCACTCCTCTGCCATCACCTGCTCCTGCCATGTCTCCAACGTGCCCCTCAAGCTCTGGGAGAGGATCGTCAGTGTGGGCGAGCAGCAGAGCCCCCGGCAATCCTCTGCGGTCAGTGATGGGGGTGGTGGGGAGGGCTCCTGCTGAGCCCCTTCCAGCATGGCCCAGTGGGCTTCATCCCTTCCTCCATCCCCTCTCTCTCCCTCCTTCCAGGCTTGGCCCATTGATGGGGGAAAGAACCTGGCCCAGGAGCCCACGCAGAGGGGGCTTCTCCTCACCGGGTGAGTGGGGGATGACAGCAGGGAGGGGACCTGGGAAACCCAAAATGCGGGGGGGACACCTCCACACCCATTTCTGCAGTGGGGGAGATTAATGGCACTAATCGCTAATTGTGATTGTGGTGGCATCCACTCCCTCATTTCGGGTGGGCTGCCCCTTCTTGTTCTGGCTGGGCATGAGTGTGTCACCCGCTGCGCTGTCCCCCGGTGTCCCCCCCTCTGACACGGTGGCTGCCAGCACACAGGCAGCCCTTGTTAGCCGGGCAGATGTTGGGGCCCCATGCTGACAGGACCCCCCCCGCCCAGGCACGAGGACGGCACGGTGCGGTTCTGGGACGCCTCGGGGGTCTCCCTGAAGCCCCTCTACAAGCTGGGCACCGCCAACATCTTCCAGACAGACTGTGAGCACAACGACAGCCTCAACCAGGCGGGCGAGGAGGAGTGGCCTCCGTTCCGCAAGGTGAGGTCCCCTGGGCAGGGTGACACTGCCGTGGAGCTCAGCATCCTCCCGGCTCTGCCAGCACTGGAGGGGGCAGACCCAGAGCTGGGCACGGGGGATGCACCTGCTGGAGCCATCCCGGCTGCGCCCCGGGGACGTGTCCCCCGGCTCAGGGCACAGCTGCTGTGTGACGCACTGTGGGGACACAAGGGACGCTTGTTCCGTGGGCTCTGTCCATGGGTCTGCCCCAGCATGGGGGACAGAGCCGGGGGGTGCGTGGGGACAGACTTTTCCTGGGCGTGATGCCCAGAGTGGCCCGTGTGCCACAGCTGGTGGAGCGATGTGGGGGTGCAGGGGGGCTGTCCCACAGCTGTGTGTGGGGTCCTGGCTGTCCCTTCAGCTGTCCCCTCCCGCAGGTGGGCTGCTTTGATCCCTACAGCGATGACCCGCGCCTGGGCGTGCAGAAGATCGCTCTCTGCAAGTACACGGCCAAAATGGTGGTGGCTGGCACGGCGGGGCAGGTAAGGTGACAAGGACAGAGCAGGGGCTGCCAAGCACCCACAGCATGAGGGGGCTACAGACCCCCACGGTTGTCCTTGAAGGGCTCCTAGCCGGGGTTTAGCCCCCCAGTGTGCAGCAGGCTGTCTGGAGGTGGGGGCTCCAGTGTCCCCCTGTCTGTGCTTGTCCCTGCAGGTGCTGGTGATGGAGCTGAGCGACGAGAAGTCGGAGCACGCGGTCAGCGTGGCCACCGTGGACCTGCTGCAGGACCGTGAGGGCTTCACCTGGAAGGGCCACGACCGGCTGGCCCCCCGGAATGGACCCCTCCACTTCCCCCCCGGCTTCCAGCCCAGCGTGCTGGTGCAGTGCGTGCCCCCCGCCGCCGTCACCGCCGTCACCCTCCACTCCGAGTGGAACCTCGTGGCCTTCGGCACCAGCCACGGCTTTGGGCTCTTCGACTACTACCGGCGCAACCCCGTGCTGGCCAGGTATGGGGGGACCTCGGTTCTGGGGACCCCTGGAGTGGCGCGGTGGGTGCTGAGCAGCATCGGTGCCCACAGGTGTACGCTGCACCCCAACGACTCGCTGGCCATGGAGGGGCCCCTGTCCCGCGTGAAGTCCCTCAAGAAGTCCCTGCGCCAGTCCTTCCGCCGCATCCGCAAGAGCCGCGTGTCGGGCAAGAAGAGGCTCAACGCCAGCAGCCCCTCCAGCAAGGTGGGCAGGGAGCGGGGGTCACCACGGCAGCTCCCCGTCCCCACCAAGCAGGGACTGACCCTGTGTCCCTCCCCAGGTGCAGGAGGCCAACGCGCAGCTGGCGGAGCAGGCGGGCCCCCCCGAGGTGGAGATGACGCCGGTGCAGCGGCGGATCGAGCCGCGCTCGGCCGATGATTCGCTTTCGGGGGTCGTGCGGTGCCTCTACTTTGCCGACACCTTCCTCCGTGACGGTGAGACCCCCCTCCCTCCTCCCTCTGTCCCTGAGAAAAGCCCCCAGGCTGGGTCTGTGGGGAGGGGGCTCTGACACTGCTCCACCCCCACAGCTGCCCACCACGGCCCCACGATGTGGGCAGGGACCAACTCCGGCTCGGTGTTCGCCTACGCCCTGGAGGTGCCGTCGCAGGAGAAGTTCTCGGAGCGGGCGGTGGAGGCGGTGCTGGGGAAGGAGATCCAGCTGATGCACCGGGCGCCGGTGGTGGCCATTGCGGTGCTGGACGGGCGGGGGAACCCCCTGCCCGAGCCCTACGAGGTGTCTCGGGACCTGGCCAAGGCCCCCGACATGCAGGGCAGCCACTCCATGCTCATCTCCTCCGAGGAACAGTTCAAGGTGAGCACAGGGCTCAGTGTCCAGCTGTGGTAGAGATGGGACACAAAATGTCCCTTGTCCTCTTTGGATGTCCTCATCACGCAGGGACTGGAGGCGACCAGTCAGGTTTTGGGGGCACTCCTATGCCTGTTCTAGGGTGGTGAATCTAAGGGGAAGGTGCTCCCCTAAACCCTGCAGGTTCCTGTTCTCTCCTGAGCCCAGCTCCTCTTGCCCCCCCAGGTGTTCACACTGCCCAAAGTGAGTGCCAAGACCAAGTTCAAGCTGACAGCACACGAGGGCTGCCGGGTGCGGAAGGTGGCCCTGGTGAGCCTGGCCAGTGCTGGCTCCGAGGAGAGGCTGGAAAACTGCCTGGCCTGTCTCACCAACCTGGGGGACATCCACATCTTCACCGTGCCCAGCCTGCGGCCCCAGGTCCATTACAGCTGCATCCGTAAGGAGGACATCAGTGGCATTGCCTCCTGTGTCTTCACCAAACACGGCCAAGGTGAGGACACCAGGTGACGTCTGTGTCGATGGGATGTTGACCTCACCTGCAGCCCTGGGGGATGCCTGAGGCTCATTGTTGTCCCCCCTGTAGGTTTCTACCTAATTTCACCATCCGAGTTCGAGCGCTTCTCGCTGAGTGCCAGGAATGTGACGGAGCCGCTGTGCCGGCTGGAGGTCGCCCGGCTCCAGGACACCTCCTGCCTCAGGTGGGCTGTCTCGGGGGCGTGGGGGGCTTTGCTGTGGTGGAATCCCTTTACACCCTCCCCGTGACACTGGTTCTGGCCATAATTCTGCCTCTTTCCTTCCAGCAACAGCTCAACGGTGACACCGAAGCTGCCGCAGGCGAACGGCACCCACGTCCCACGCAGCTCCGAGGGCCAGCACTCCCCCTCGGACAGCGACCGTGAGTGACCACGCTGTCCCTGCACACACTCTGTGTCCCACAGCCCTGCTCCAAGCCTGGCTCTGTGCCCTGGCTGTCCCCAATCCCTCCTGTCCTTCACTCCCCAGGGTCCCCTGAGGAGCACCCGGCTGCCTTCTCGCCCGGCCCCATCGACTCCCCCAACAGCAGCATGGAGAACCCGCTGGACACCACCGGGGACATCACCGTGGAGGAAGTGAAGGATTTCCTGGCGTGAGTGGGGTGGGAATGGGGTAAACGGTGCTGAGGGGCCGTGGCAGTGCCTCTCACCCTGCTCTGCCCCAGGTCCTCGGAGGAAGCAGAGCAGAACCTGAGGAACACCAGCGAGGACGAGGCCCGGCCCACGGGGATCCTCATCAAGTGAGGTCTGTGAGAGGCTGGTGGTCCCTGGGGTGGGAGTGGGATTTGGAGCTGCGACCCCAGCGCAGTGATCCCTGGGGCTTGTAGGGGAGGGGGCGCAGGGAGAGTGCCTATCCTCATCCCCACCAACTCTTGCTGAGGAGCTGCCTCGCCCACAGGCATCGCCGGCCTCCCTGACCCATCTCAGTGCTCGGATTCCCGGGATGCGCGACTCGACTGGACCCCCGCGCCCCCTCCCCCTGTAACGTAGGCTCGCCTCCTCTCTAACATCTGCAGCCCGGCTCCGGCACTCCCCACACCCCCTGCCCGGCCGCCGGCCCCGGGGCCGTGGGGCACAAACTCTTCCCGGGGAAGATCAGTTCCTTTTTTATACACGGTCGAGTGTCACTGTCCCCTGCTCCAGAGCCCCCTTCCTTGGGGGATGCTGCTGCTTCCCCGGCTCCACGGGGAGGGCTGGGGCTTGTGGACCCCCCCTTGTCCCCTGGTTTTGGTCCCTTGGGGCAGTGGGGGGCCAGAAGCCCCCGGGCACGGCCCCCCCGTCCCCTGGTCTGTGTTTACATGCCCGGCTCCCTGCAGTTTACAGCCCCGTTCCCTGCCTGCCAGGAGGCTCTGGCTGCTGCACAGGGACTGTCCCCAGGGGAGCCCCTGGGGGATCCCCTGGCTCCCAGGTGGGCAGCAGAGGCCTTGAGCAGCCCGAGGAGGGGCACGCTGGGGGGTCACAGGTGGCCTTTTTCTCTTAGTGGCTTCTCCAAGGGCTATTCTCCAGGTTGGGCTCTGTGCCTGCTGCTCCTTTCTGACACTAATTCCTGCCACGGGGTGGGTTTGGGATGGGATCACGCTGTGGAATTACACACGGGCTCCTGGTCCTGGTCCATGTTGGTGCTGGGGGGGGGCAGATGGGGCTGCCCCAGCCCCCTCCTGCCCCAGGCTGGGCTGCCCCACCCTGGGGGTCTCACTGTGCCAAATCCCCCCCGGGCTCCGAGCCTGGCCTCGTCCTCCTGGGGGGCTGTGGTGATGCCAGCTCTGTCCCCTGGCCCATGGTGGCTGTTCCCAGGGGCTCAGCTGGCCCCTGCCCCTCTCCTTTTGGGGACCTGTGGCCCCCCCAGGCTCTCTTGCGGTACGTGTGTGGCTGGGGGGGTTCGGGCTCTGTTGCTGCCGGCCGAGGCCGGGGCTGTAGCATCCCTGGTAGGACCCCCCCCCCACCCAAACCTCATCTTTTTTGTTTTTGGTAAGATGAATTTAGCATTGTTTAGTTATTAAAAATACTGGTTTTTAATATTGAAAATAAAGCATTTAATATCAGCTGCCTGGGCTGCAGGTATTTGCTGAGCCTTGGAGCCAGGTGAGTGCTGAGCTGCAGAGGGGCACGATCAGGGTTGGGGGTGACCCCATTTGGGAGTGAGTCAGAGCCTGGGACAGGGTCGAGGTGAGAAGTACAGCCTTTATTGATATGATCCAGAGGGCTGATCCCTGCTGGGGGTCCATCCCCCAGGACAGCAGGGACCAGCTGTAAGGCCCAGGGCTGAGAGCCCCTCACTCCCCCCCGCCCCATTCTCCTTAGCAAAGCATCCTCCCACCCAAACTGGGAGTCACTCCTGTCCCCCAGTCACGGGGGGAGCTCGGCACTGGTTTGGGGCAGCAGCATCCCCAAGCAGGGTGTGACAGGGGCCCACACCACCCCATATGCCCCCCAGGAAGGGCAGGGGGCTGAGCTGGGCCCTGTGCTGAGAGAAGGGGGGACAGAGGGACAAGCCCCAGTGATCCCCACTGGCCCCAGCTCGGGGGGAAGCGACTCCAGGCTGAGCCTGGCGTTGGCGGCAGCGCGGGGTGCCAGGGCCAGCTGTGCCAGGGGGGCTGTGGCTGGAGCACCGGGTGCCCCCCACCCTTAGGTGGGCGGCTTGCGGAACACGCTCCAGGCGTGGAAGCAGCGGGTGAAGGGCCAGGGCTCGTTGCCTTTCCGCACCAGCCGCAGCTTGCGGGGATGTGTGGGGTCCTTGGAGCGCATGTGCTGGATGTAGACCTGAGGCAAAGCATTGCTGTGGGGGTCCTGACCCTCACCCTCCTCTGGGGTTGGTATTCCCCAGCCCAGAGCTCTGCAGGACCCAGGTCAGGGCCCTGAGGGGAGATGGAAGTGTCCAAATCCCCACGCAGTCCCAGGATGGAGGGAGGTCTTACCTGGCATGCCTTGAGGCTCAGCTTGATCTCCACCTGGCTGGTCTGGGTGCCCACCCACATGTAGACCTGCAGGAAGGATCAGCAGCTGGGCTCAGCCCACAGAGCCTCTGGAAGGTTTGAGCCCAGGACAGCCTCATGCCCCCAGCTCACCTCCCGCCCGTTGTCCAGCAGCATGATGTCATCATCAGCCAGGTCATCCTGGCAGAAGTCTGAGCACTTCTCTGACACGGAGAAATAACCTTTCTCATTGGAGCATCTGCAGGGAGATGGACAGGGACAGTATGAGGCATGAGTTTGTTATGACTCGGCTCATGCGGAGGGCAGGGATGTGATGGAGCAGCTGTTCTGGCTGGTTGGTTCCCAAGGGTTCTGTGGGAGGAAGGGAAGTAGCCCAGACTGGAGCATCCCCCTCCAGGCCAGTGCCCACCTGAAGAGCCGTGAGTGCTTCATGTAGTCAGCATCTTCATCGTATGGCTTCTGGCCCCCAATGCCCACCCAGAAGAAGTTTTCAGGTTCCTCTCCCTCATTGATGACCTGAAAGGGCAGGAACAGGGCTGAGTGTGGCCTGGGTGGTCACTGTCACCCAGGTAAGGTGGCACTGAGCCCTGCTCACCTGTTTGCTGTAGGAGTCATCAAACATGTGGTTCATGATGTCCTCAGCCAGCTTGGCCTCGTCAGGGTCAGCTGCCCGGCCCACCCAGGTGTACACAATGCCCTGGTTGTCCGTGCTCTCAAAAGGCACCTGGGGGACAGTGGAGTCAGGGCTGCCCAGGGGGGCAGGAGGGCACCCAGGCATCCCTGAGGATGCTCAGCCACGAGCAGTACCTTGAGGATGAAGCAGAACTCGGAGTTGAGCAGAGCAGCGTCCGTGTTGATCTGGATGCACCTGGAGACGGAGCCCCGAGGCACAAATCAGAGGGAGACCCGGCAGCTGTGCCCAGCAGCAGGTATCCCACCTGGATGTGGCACCCGTGGGGGCTGCCTGGCACTGACCTGGTGCAGAGGGCCCCGCCGTTGGTGCGGATGTGGTACAGGCTGGGCTGGGGAGCGCTGACCCGGTCCTTCCGCTTGCCCCGGTGGATCACAAACCTCCTCTTGAAGTGCGAGAGGAATTTGGGGTTCTCCTGCTGCTGGGTCATGCGCACCACCTGCACAGGGCCGGCAGTCAGAAGGGGCACAGGGACTTCCCAAAAGCAGCTCCAAGCCCCAGCTGCACCCCCCTGCCAGCTCCCGTCCCTGCTGCTGTCCCCTGCCTCAGCCTGAGGGGCAGGGAGGGGATGGGGGAGAGGCAAAGCTGGGGCACCCCTGTGTCACCCCCAAACTGTGTCACCTCCAGCTTGCCACGGAAGTGACTCTCAAACTTCTTCTGGAGGCTGAAGGTGAAGGTGAGCCAGCCCATGTTGGAGGCCTCCCGGCCCTGCCAGAAGTAGACGATGCACTGGGAGTCTTCCTCGGGCTGCTTCTCCTCCTCTTCTTCCTCAACCTCCTCTTCCCCTTTGCCTTCGCCCTTCTTCTTTTTCTCCTCATCCTCCTCGTACTCCACTGGCACCCAGTACCTGAGGGCGGGAACAGGGAGTGATGTGAGGGATGGGACAGTCAGGAGGACTGGGCAGGGATGTTGGGGACAAGGTGGTCCAGCAGCCCCTGAGAGGGGACAAGCCAGCTGTCACCTGCACAGGAAGACATAGCAGTCGTGGGTGTGGAAATGGCCAAACTCCTCCTCGGGCAGGCGAGTGAATTTCTTGCCCTCCAGCACGAAGCCCTCCATGCCATCCAGGTCCTCGTTCCACTCCTCCATCAGCTGCTCCGCCTGTGGCCCCATGAGCTGCGTCAGCCCCCGGCTCCTCCATCATCACCCAGCCCTATGTCATGGGGGATTCATGGGGGTCCCCAGCCCTACCTCGCTGAGGGGCATGGGGGGCTGGCGGGGCAGGAAGAGCGCGGTGAGGTCGGCCTTCATCTGGTCCTTCTTCTCGGCGTCCTTGCGGACCTTGCCGGCCAGGCCGCCGTCCTGCAGCACCGTCTCGGCGTTCCGGGTGTAATCCACGCGCAGGACGTCATCCCAGTTCTTGAACTTGGACTTGAACACCTACATCACAGAATCAGTAAGGCTGGAAAAGACCTCCAAGATCATCGAGTCCAACCTGTGACCGACCCCCACCTCATCAACCAGACTAGAGCAGCGGGTGCCACGTCCAGTCATTCAAGGTGTAAACTGGGGAGCAGGTAACAGACCCTCGGCCTCAGCCCCCTCCCAGGCACCCAGCACCCACCTGAGGGGTCCAAGCCCCACCTGGCACTCGGTGCCCTCCAGGTTCCTGGTGACCATGGCGTGCTTGGGCCGGTGCAGCATGGTGCACAGCTCCTGGCTCAGCTTCAGCGCCGCCGCCCGCACCAGCCGCGACGACTTCCTGCCGATCCAGATGAAGACGTCGGACCAGCAGTCCAGGATGTACACATTCTTGGTGTCCAGCAGGCTCTGCAGCTGAGGGCACCACAGGGGAAGGGGGTCAGGCACCTGCAGGCTTTCCCATCTGGAAAACCCTGCGTGCTCCCGACAGAGCAGAGCATCCCCCAGCCGGGTGCTGCTGGCTGAACCTCCCTCTCCCAGGGCACAGCTGGAGGCAGAAGGGGCATGAAACCAGTCTCACTGGTCAGACTGGGAGAACCTCCTCGCCCCATCCTACCAGGCGCATCTCTGGCATCAGATCAGCCTTCAGCCTCTTCTTGTGCTCCACGGAGAGCTTGTAGTTGATCTGGGGAAGCTCCAAGTAGCCCAGACCAAGGCCGACCTGCAGAGGGGATGGGGACAGAGGTGAGTGGGGGCTGCAGGACCTCAGCAAGGCTGGTGGCCCTATGGATGCAACTCCCCACCTTGTACAGCTTGGGCTTGTGGGGCTGGAAGTCATCGGGCACACAGGTTCGGATCTCCTCGGGCTGCCCCCCCAGCACCTCCCAGAATTCGGGGGTCTCCTGGCCCTGGGTGAGCAGCGTGATCTCAGCCTTGCCCTTCCGCTCGTTCTTGTTGATCTTCTCGGCGAAGAGCCTGCAGTGGCAGTAGGTGAGATGGCAGCTGGGCTCCCCACACCCCAGCATCCCCACCAGCCCTACCTGGCCTTGGTGGTGCTGCTCAGCGTGGCCTGGCTCCCACGCCACACCAGGAGGTCGAGGCCGTGGTCCAGGAGGAAAACAAACCTGGTGGAGAGAGGTGAGAGGAGTCAGGACAGAATGGGTGTGCTGAGCATCCTCCCCATCCTGGGGGTCCCTGCAGGGCATCAAGGGGGGTTTGAAACCATATTCTTGCAGAAAGGTGCTGGCATAGCCCATTTGCACCACAGAACTGCAGCTATAATGTCTCAGGTGGATTCTGCTGAAACTTCTGCAAGGTCCCTCTGTCCCCTGGCCACTCACCGGGGATCCAGTGATGTCCCTTTCAGTGCCACCGGCTCCAGCTTGACGTTCTTCTTCCCATAGACACGGTAGAGCCTGGGGAAGGGACAGCCATGGTGGGACATGGGGCACTGCCTGCCCTATGCATCTCCCCCAGCCCCTGTCCCCAGCTGTACCTGGTGACATACTGCGTGTCCTCAACGGTGAAGAAACCACTGGCCGTGCCACCCTCGATGTAGGAGATGTCATTGTCGAAGACCTGGGGGCAGGGAGGGGGTGAGGGTGGGACAGGAGGGGACAGGGGCTACAGGGGAACTGGAGGTTGGCCTCACCTGAAGGAACTCTTCACTTTCATCCCCCATCTCCTCCCGGATGCTGCGGCACTCAGCCCCCAGGTAGTTGCGGAGGTTGACAGCGTGGATGGCTGAACAGGCCTTCTTGTCCAGTGTGGCCTCCTGCCCGATCCAGTAGTAGATCTCCCAGTTCAGGGAACCATTCTCATCCAGGAAGGTCTGAGAAGGACAGAGTGTGAGATGGGCTGGCTGCAGCTCCAGGCAGGGGATGCAGGGGACCCTTGGTCCTCCCCAGGTACCTTGAGCACGATGTAGCAGTCGGCTTCGTAGAACTTGCCGTGGAAAGCCTCGTCCACCAGCGTGGGCACGAAGTTCTCGATCTGCCAGACACAGAGGCCGGGCAGCTGCCCCACG